GTCCAAGCCCGAGTACCAGCAGCGACTTCTCGTCGCGCACGCTCGTGACGTGTCTATCGAGCCGCTGCAGTTCCCAGGCAACTACCAGCATTAGCTGCAGGAAGAACAGTTTCGGCTTCAGCACCGCTTGCATCGTGACGTACCGCAGACTTTCGCTGCGCGCATAGTCGCGCATCAGCAGCAGCGCCAACGTCACCAGCACCGTGATCACGCCCGCAGCCAAGTCGCAAACCCAGCACAGCCGGAAGTTCAGTCGAGAGCGAAAAGTTTGCGCTAGCGCAGCACCGTACAGAAAGAAAACCACCAACGCGTCGAGACTCTGCGTCTCCGAGCCCGCGAACAGCGCGAGACACACCAAGAAGAGCGGCCGCGACAACCACGCCGCGCGTGAGCCGCTCAGCACGTGCGTCAGCAGCAGCAGTCCCGCTATGGCCGCAGACGCGCTCGCGAGCACGAACGGCGCGAACACGCAGAACGCTATGTTCGCCACGATCAGGTACAGACTAATCAGCAGGTCTGCGCTGCTGAACGTCCATTCTTCCGCGGTAGTCGCGCCGTGCGCGGCGCAACTCGCATCGTATTCCCAGCCGTCGGGCACCACGTTCAACACGTGCCGCTTGCGCAGCGCGTGCTGCTGGTGCAACTCCTGCAGCCGCTGCCGGTAATCCTTGTACGAGTAGTTGCTCAGACTGAAGAGCAGCACTGCGTGCGGCGCGCGGTAACTTACGACTCACGCCGTGCAGCAGCGTCAGCCAGAGCGTCGAGCGGAACAGCCGCGGCGCACAGAACGGCGAAATCGCGCGCGCGCACGGGCGCGCGCTCACGTGCCCGAGCGTGTGAGAGTTAAAACTCTGCGCGAAGACCGCAAAGACCGGCACGCCGAACTCCAACGCGACGCGCAACGCCCAAAAGTGCGGCTGCATCGGTCTGTCCGAACTGAGCGCTCTCTCCGCGCGAAATTCTCCAATATAATTCGCTGCCAGCAAATAGATGTATTAAATAAAATAGCACAATGCAAAGCGCTCTGCAGGCGGCGCTTCCCGGAGAGTGTCTACGGTTTTGGAAAAAGTTCAAAAGCAGCAAGCGCCAGATTAAAGTAAGTTGAGCGGTCGCGCGCCGCAGGTCCTCGCCAAAAGCGGCTCCGAGGCGCCCGCCGTCCGCGCCGTCGCGCTCTTCTCCCTCGAACTCGCCGGCGCCGCACAGGCTCGCTCTCGACTCGCGCTCGTTGCGCAGGGCACCAAGGCACTCTTTCTGCAGGCGGGCTCCGGCGAGTTGCTGCACACGTTCAGCGGCTCCGCGACACCTCTCGTCGCGCTCGCCGTGCGCAGCGACGGCAAGCTTGCCGCACTCGCGAACGAGTCCGGTGAGATTTTCGTGTTAATGACCGAGAAGCGCGCGCTGTTGCGGACCTACCGCTCGGACAGCGCTGCGCGAGACCTCTGCTTCTCGCACGACCTCGTGCAACTCCTCAGCGCACACGCAGACAACGCTGTGCGCGTATGGGAGCTCGCCGTCGACGGCGCGCCCCTGCTCACGCTGCGCGCGCCGGCCGCGACGAGCGCCGAGTTGCGCGGGCTGCTGCCGCCCACCGCGCAGCTGCCCGCGCTAGCGTACGCAAGCGACGGCGCGCTCTTCGCGCTGGACGAAGAAGCCGCGCAACTGCGCGCCGTTGGCGCACTCGGCGCGTCGCTCAGCCGACTCTCGCGCTGCGGCACTGCACTGCTCGCGACGCACGAGGCGCGCATCGCGCGCTACAGCTTCCCCGGCTGCGCACTCGAACACACTTATCACAACCACCTGCACACCGTCAACGCGGTTTTCGCGACGCCAGCCCACCTCGTGAGCTGCGCAGACGACGGCAAACTCAAGGTCTACGCGCGCAGCTCCGGCGCACTGCTCTGCGCGATTTCCGCCAACTCGCCCATCACCGCGTGCGCTTTCGACGAACAGACGAGCACGGTGCTCTACGGCGAGCGCGCGGGCCGCTACTGCCTCGCGCAACTGCTGTCCGCGGAAGCCTCCAGCGCTGCGTTTCGCGCCGCTCAGGCTGCAGACCCGCTGGGCGAGCGCTTCTTCTATCGCGGGCGCCACGCGGCGCCTGCGCCCGAGCACAGCGTCGCGTTCGAATCGCTCAACGCGCAGCGCGCGGAGCGACTCTTCTACCCGCGCGCGATCCACGCGAAACTGCAGAAGTTCTACTACACAGAAGCGCTTTTCACCATGCTCAAGACGCACCCGCGGTACTTCTGGCTGCTCGCGGAGCACTTCGAACAGTCTGATCTGCTCGGCAAAGCCCTCGCCGGGCTCAGCGACGCGCAGTTCATAAAGCTCGCAAAGCGGCTTGCGCGCGCCGCCGAGCACGCAGTCGCGCTACCGTTCCTGAGCGTTTTCTACATCTTCCTCAACCGGCTCGCGCTTGCGAATTCGTGGCTGCGCGAAGCTGCCGACGCTCGCGTGCTCGCGGCTCTTGCGGCACTGCACACACTGCTGGGTCGCAAACTCGCTGCCGCGCGGCGCGCGAACGCCGTCGCGCAGCGCCTGGAGGCGCTCACGCGCCCGTTCCTCGAGCCGGCGTCGCAGGAAATGGTCGCTGCGTGAGTGCGCGCTTCAGGAACGTCGTTGCGCGAGCGTGCACTTCAGGCGCGACTCTGCCTGAATGCGCGCTTTAGGTGCGATTTTACGTGAGTGCGCGCGTCAGCCGCGTCGTTGCGTGAGTGCGCGCGTCAGCCACGTCGTTGCGTGAGCGCGCGCGTCAGGCGCGTCGTTGCGTGAGCGCGCGCGTCAGCCACGTCGATGCGTGAGCGTGCGCGTCAGCCGCATCGTCGCGTGAATGCGTGCGCCAGCCACGTCGTTTCGTGAGTGCGCGCCTCGGTGCGACAGTTTTACGTGCACGCGCGCTGACACAAATTTGATGTGTTGAAAACAATATTGATCAAACTGAAAAGGCGAGCACAATCAATAATGTGGATTTTGAAAAATTAATTTGCCTTTCAGATTCCGCTGCGCCAGCTGCAATTCGCGAGGCCGAACATGAACCAGTCGGAGAACAACGTAAGTGTTCGGACGCACGCACTGCAGCAGCCCTCTGAGTGCCTGGGCGGATGCGGCTTTTACGGCAGCGAGGCGAACGAAGGCTACTGTTCAGTCTGCTTCAAGTTTTTCTCGAAGGAGTGTGCCGCCGTTCCGCGCGCAGCGCACGGGCCCACGCTCGGCGCGAGCGCGAACGAGCCGTCGGTGCTCGAGCCGGTCGTCGTCGAGCCGGCTCGGCTGCCGATGCTCTCGCCGCTGGCCGCGCCGCAGCCCCCCGTGCAGGCGCAGCTGCCGGCCGCCGCGGCTGCCGCCGCGAAGGCGACCTGCGCAGTGTGCCAGCGCAAGGTGAAGCCGCTGCCGTTCGTGTGCCGTTGCGGTGGCGCGTTCTGCCGGCAGCACCTGCACGCGGAGGCGCACGACTGCAGCTTCGACTACCAGTCCTTCGCGCGCGAGCGGCTCTCGGCGCGCATCGCCGGCGCGCCGCCGCGCTATGAACTCGAGCGAATCTGAGCTAGAGTCGCTCTTCGAAGCCCGTTTCGCGGTACACCTTCAGCCACTGTGCGAGCGAGACGGTTTGCGCATCTTTGAGCGGCCAGGGCGCCGCGTAGTTCTTGGTCCGCACACCGAGTCCCCAGTACAAGTTCTCGCGCAGCGAGCCGATCCAAGTGTCTTCGCGCACTTTGGGCACCAGGAACGCCGCGCAGGCGGGGTGTCGCTCGACCAGCAGCTCCAGTCCTGGCACAAGGTCCATGAATGCATGTCCATCAACGCGTACTTTGGCGTCCGCTCTGCTGAACGCGCTGACGCTCACACTCACCGAGAGCGCGGCCGGCAGCACGATCGAGCGCATGTTCAGGCTGTGCGGGCAGATCGGAGAGAGCACCAAGCAGTCCACGGCCGGGTGCACCACGCTGGCGCCGGTCGCCATGTTGTACGCGGTGCTGCCGGTCGGCGTCGCGACGATCAGGCCGTCCGCCGCGAGCGTCAGGTAATGCACGCCATTGATCTTGACTTCCAGCTTGCAAAGACACGGCGAACCGCCGCGGTCCACCGAGCACTCATTCAGCGCCTTCCCGCTGCGCAGCAGCGCGCCGTCCGCGCCGCGCACGGCGACGCTCAGCGCAGTCCGCTGCACGCGCTCAAAGCTCGCAAGACGCTGCGCGCCAAACAACTCCTCGAACAGCAGCTCGAGGTCAGCGACCTCCAGCTGGTTTATGTAACTCAGCGCGCCGAGCCTCACCGCGATAAACGTCAAGTCGCGCAGCTCGGGCAGCAAACTCACGGCCCAAAGCGTGGTCCCGTCGCCGCCCAAGGTAATCACGTGCGTGAGCTTCCGCGCCTCGCGCGTCGCGGCCGGGTCGTACACGCGCAACTCGCGCAGGCCGTAAGGCACGAGGTCCGCGGCCGCCTCGCGCTCCACGAACACGCGCAGTCCATAGCGCTCCGCGAAAAGCCGTACGAGCACCGCAGCAAGGCTGTTGGTCACGTCGGAGCCTTTGCGCTTCACGATTAGAACGCCGAAGCGCTTTTCTGGCCGCATCGCGAGAGCACCACGTGCCCGCAGAAAAACTCAAAAAGATTGCGCAGCGAAAAACTTAATTCTTATATAAAGCTTCGAGCATGGCGCCGTAGCGCGCACGCAAGTTCACGCGGCGCAACTTCATTGTAGGAGTAAGCAGTTCGTTTTCGATCGTGAACTGCTCGTCGGTCATCACGAAGTCGCGCACGCGCTCGAAGCCCTTCAGCTTGCCGCTCACCGCGGAGGCCTGCAACGCCGCGGCGACTAGTGGCTTCAGTGCGTTGTAGTGATCCTTAATCAGCGAGCGAAGACTCGCGTTCGGGACACCCAAAGACTTCGCGAAGCCGCGGATCACGAAACCTTCCTCGAGCACGACGAGCCCAACCACGTACGACTCAGTGGACAGCCCGTGGACGTAGCACTGCGCGACTCCCGGCGTGAGCGCCATTAGAGTCTCAACCTTCTCCGGCGAGACGTACTCGCCCTGGCTCAACTTAAACAAGTTCTTCTTGCGGTCGATAATGCGCACGCGGTTGCCGTCGAAAATCTCCGCAATGTCGCCAGTGTGGAAAAAACCCTCCTCGTCAAAGCACTCGCGAGAAGCCTCCTCGTTGCAGAAGTAACCGGGAAAGACTCCTGCGCCGCGAATCGCTAGCTCGCCTTGGCGCTTCGCACCGTTCGCGAAGTAGTTCATCTCGGGCACGTCGTGCAGCCGGAATGACAAATGCGCGAACGCGCCGCCAATGTGGCCGACTTCTCCGTCAACAGCGTGCGCGCTGAACGCCGGACCCATCGTTTCCGTCAGCCCGTACGCATTCAGAAACGGCGCGCCGAATATGAGGCTGAACTTGCGCAGCAAGTTCGCCGAAATCGTCGAGCCGCCGCTGAAAAATACGGCGACGCGTCCGCCGAACGCCTTCTGAATTTTCTTAAAGAGCAAAGCATCCAGGATCGGGTGTCGCAATTTGCCGGTTTTTTGGAAGTTCTCGAGCTTGCGGCTGTATGCGTTTCGGAAGAGCCAGCGGGTCAGAGCGCGCTGATTCAGCTTTTCCTCGACCGTGCTCATCAGCTTCTCGAACACGCGCGGCACGCTTGCAAAGATCACGGGCCGACAGTCGCGCACGTCGTCGATGAACCGTTCGCGTTCGCCGCAGTGAAAATAGATCTGCGCGCCCATTACCAATAAGCAGCCTTGGAAGAAACGCTCGTACACGTGCGCCATCGGCAAATGGCTCAAATAGGTAATGTAGCCGTCGTCCAACTGCAGGTGATCGAACTGTTCGTGCAAAAAGCACAGCGCGCCGCTTATCGTCGCTACCAGCATGCGCTCCGTCAGCATCGCACCCTTCGGCACGCCGCTCGTCCCGCTGGTGAAGCAGATGCAGCTCACTGAGTCCGGTTTCGCGATCACCTCCTGCGTGTCGCGGTGCTGCACCCCTGCCTCAAGTATCTCCACCCACTCGTAGACACGCACGCCCATCGCGGCGTACTGCGTTTTGATGTCCGAAAAGTTCGGGTGGTTGCGGTAGTCAATTAACACAATGTTGCGGAGCATAAACTGCTCGCCGAGCTCCTCCTTCAGCTTTTGCAAAATCGGCAGCAAAAACTTCATGTTCGGATAGCCCGCGCAAATCGTGCGGATCTTGCAAATCTTCATAATGTGCTCGATGCTTTCGTCTCCAAGCGTCTCGTACAAAACGGTTGTAGTGAAGTCGAACGCATGCGCCGCCAAACTGACCAACGTCGTACTCTCCTGGTTGCGCGAGCAAACTGCGAGTATCCGAAGTCGGCGCGCAGACGGGAGCAAGTGCTCATCATAGTCCTGGTACTCAACAAGGTTCAGCGCCAGCAAACCTGCGCCCACCGTTTTCACACGCTCGAAAATCGTGCGGTATGAAGAACTAGCGTAGGGCGCCCAGCTGCCGTCCAAGCGCTGCTTTCGCGAGTATAAACAGGGCCTGTCGCCAACCGAATTTTTCACGTGCCGCAGCAGCTCCCACATCGTCAGATGCGGAGCTTCGCGTACGTTGTAGGTATCAGCGAGTAATTTACGCAGATACGCGTCCGTGTCGAAGCCGTCGGCGTGCAACGAGGACCGAAAAATCGGCGAACAGTCATTGCCTCCTGCGGCTTCGACGCCGCCTGCGTTATACTCGCCCTTTGCTATGACATTGAATGTCAAGTTCGAGTTGCAGCGCAAATTTTCGGTTGAGTTGCTTTGCGATCCCATTCTAGATTCAGAAAAATATTTTACACCTAGAATTCGTTTTTAGTAAATCTAGCGGTTCAGCCGTCTCTTGATAACCAAACCTTTTTTCTGCGGAGCTGCGAAACTCACGCCGCTTGCCGTCAGCGCGCCGACGTTCCCGGCAACACCAGCGCCCAGCTGCGCCCCACCTTGCGACGCTGCGCTCACACCCAGCGCGACCGCGTTGGGCGCACCAGTGCCCAACCCGCCGAAACCCGGGGCAAACGCGCCGGCCGCCGACGCGAAGCCCGCGGCTCCCTGCGAACCGGGCAGTGGTTGCACGAATGCGTTCATTCCGCGCTGCAGCTGTGGGTCGCTTGAGAATTCGGCGCCGCCAGCCGACTCCGTGTTCGACGTAGTCAACGAGCTAATTGGCTCGTTGACCGGCTTCGCGCCAATGCTTCCGCTAAACGCAAAAGTGCCGCTGCTCCCGCCCCAGCTGGTCCCCGCTGCAGGTTGACTCGCCGAGTTAGAGGCTGTAAAAAAGGGTCCGCTCCTGTCGCCGCCGCCCGATGTGGCCGCCAGACCGAACAATCCTGGCCCCTTCACACCTTCCCTGCCGCCGACGCTAGCGCCGCTGGCCGCGGCATCCGTAACGCCACTCCCTTGCGACGAGCCGAACAAATTCGCTGCACCCAGACCTTGGAACAGCGAGCCGCCAGTGCCAGGAACTGCCGGTTTCTGCTGGCCTTTATCCATTGCGCCGAGCGAGCCAAACAGCGAAACACCCGTGCCGTTGGTCAACGGCTTCTGATCGCCAGCACTGGCTGCGCGCTGCGCACTAAACAACGCGCCTGCGTTAAAAGCTTGCGTGCCACGCTGCCCAGCAGCTGCTCCACCCAGCGAGCCAAACAAAGAGCTGCCCGCGCTCATAACAGTGTTTTGCTCAGCTTTCCCTTCGCCCTGTGCGTTCAGCATCGAGCCAGTCGAGTTTGCAATCATTCGGCGCTTTCCAACATTCTCCATTGCGTCCCCAGTGCCGAACGCAGCCGCATTCGAGCCAGGAGCCGCTGAGTTATACGTGTTAGTGCGCGCTTCACCTAGCGCGCCGAACAAAGAGCTGCCAAGTACCGATTCAGATGGCTTCTGCTCGTTTGAATTCACAGCACCCAGCGAGCCAAACAACGAACTGCCCACACTCGCCGAGCGCGAAACCTGACTCGCACCGCTGCCCGTTCCGAGATTCCCAAACAACGAACCAGTTGTATCGGCGCCAAACATGCTTTGTGCGCCTCCGCTCGCTGTACCCACGTACTCAAACAACGAACCCTTAACGGCAGAGCTAGAAGTCTTCTGTGCGCTGTCGCCCAAGACGCTTGGTGCGTCAAATTTCGAAGCGCCAGCGCCTGGTCCGGCCGACTTCTGATCGCACCCGCTCCGTATACCTGGTGTACCAAGCGGCGCTTCGGTTGAACTCGCAGCTGAGTTTTTCTGCTCGCTGGCCACTATGGCTGAAGCGCCAAATGCAAAGCCGTTTGCGGTCGAAAGCACTTGCCGCTCATCACCGCTACTCTTAGCGCTCGTTGGGAGGATAGAACTGCCATCAGTGATCGCAGCCCCAAAGATCCCCTGCGCCTGCACGCTGCTGGAATTAGTAAACAAATTCGTATTAGCATCAGAGCCAAAGATCGAATTACTGCCTCGCGCCGGAGCGGGAGCCGGGGTAAACAACGATCCTTTTTTCTCAAATGCGCTCTCTCGCGCGGTCTGCGTCAGTTCCACCGCATCTGAAGAAACGGGCTTTTCCCTCAGCTCGCTAGAGGTAGCGGTTTGAGCTCTGTCTAAAGTCGCACTCAAAGCCTCACCTTTAGCGTTAGCGTTGCGACACACAGAAGAGTTGAAACTGATCATGTCTCCCGACGCATTTGCCTCCGAAGTTGACAAACCATGTTTCAATTCTCCAACCGACTGCAAGGAGCTCGCCCTCATAGAAATATTGTCGGGGTTTTGGCTACCAGCTGTTGTACCTGAGCCTCCAGCAGAAGAAAACCCTAAACCCAGACTAGTGGACTGTTTCTGGCCGAACAAACTCTGTGGCTTCTGACCAGTCGTGCCCTTCAACCAATCGCTCGCTGGTGAAGCGATCGAGCCAGAATTCTCGGCCACTGCGCCGGGAGTCGCAGAAGAACCGAAAGAAAAAGCAGACTCACTTGCTTCAGCACACGTACCAGTTAATGATTCGGTTTTTCCTCCAAACATTCTGCTACTCGAAGTCGCGCTGTGAGGCACAGTCACCGAGCCGAAGAAACTGCCAGCAGTAGAGATGGAGGTCGAGCCATTTCCGCCCTCATTCTCAATATGTTCAAAGTTACCACCCGTGCTTTCAGCGTTCGAACTAAATTGCTGCGCTCTTTCCGCAGACTCAGCGTTTCTACTGCGCTTCGCGCGCGCATCGATTCGCTCTGCAGGAATCACACCTGAGCTGGGATCCGCGGCACCCGCAAAGGCTAGAACGCTTCCAAACAAAGACTGGCTGGCACTGCTAGTTGTCTGGACATCGCCAGCAGTGCCACCGGCAGGCGCAACCTTCACACCACTACCGGGCTCTATTTCAGCTGTATTCGTGCCCTGTGTCGCAGTAGAGTTAAGTGCGAAACCCTGTTCAAACCTAGGCGCATTCGCGTTCGTTATGAACAAATTCATAGGTTTTTCAGACACGACGCGCGATGCTGCTGTGCCCTGTTCCGCAGCATGTGACTTATGCGAATCTAGCTGAGGAACGCCGTTCTGAGGCGCGCATCCAGCGCGCATTGCGCTTTGGCTAACAGAAGAAGGCGCTGCGCTGTTCGCGCGGCTGCGGTCAACACCTGCTTCAATATCTCTATATACGTCGGTCGCTGCGTCTCCAATCTCTACAGCAAAGTTAGTGATGACGCGTCTGCTCGTGAAACCGCCAAAGCAAGCCGGCCTAAAAGTTCCCCTCGCTATTTCCTTGAAATCGTAGCGTGGAATTTTTGCAGGCGGTTTTGCATCCGTTGCCTCCGAATCTCTTCTGGAACCACAACGGTTGCTCTCAGGTAAATTGGCGCCGTCCCCTTGGCACGACGCTAAGCTGTCCGCGCCATTTTCACGCATTCCTTGCGAGCCGTCAGCATCGCCGACGAGCGCAGCCCATCTGCCTCTGGGCGGCGAACGCAGTCGGCGCAGCGTAACAAAATTGCCTCTTCCACCCCGACTCTGCCGCCGCAAGTAGCTGCTGAGCCACGTTCGATCCTTAGCCGACAGCGACGGCAAAAACATTTTCTCAGCTTTGTTGCTAACGCGGGACAGATCACCGCCGTTCTGCGCTAAGCCCGGTTGTCTTCGCAAATCTGCAAGTTTCACATTGAACAGAGCATTCGAGCGTACCGCGTTTCGAGGCGTCTCGACCGACGCTTCGTCGCACTGCTGCATTACGGGCTCCACTGTAGCTTTACCCCAGGCAGTCTTGCTCTCGAAAGCAAACAAAGCGCGGTACAGGTTGCTAAAATAGCCCATAATCGTTAGCTGCTCTGCGCCCGATCCACTTGCGACCGCGCTAGAAACCGAGGCGAAAATAGTCAGATTAGCCAGCCTTTTTTTCAGGCTAAATATTAAGGCTTGTCTAGGGAATATTAACGTCAGTTTTTTTGAACGACGGAAAGGGATTCAGCTCGATAGTTTTTCGAAAAACGTCTGTCAGCATTTTTCTCCGTAAATTGTTTGCGATATCGCTCGCGCTTTCCGCAGAAACCTGGTTACTGCGAAGGAGAGATTCGAGCAACTCTGAGATCGCGTCAATACTGTGAAACGTCAACAGAAATTTGTGTTGAAATGCGGTCAGAAGCGGAGCTTTGTTAGCTCTGCCAGATCTTATGTTTTCTCTAAACTGCATATTTCTACAAAACCGCTGATGCACAAACGTACCGTTCATACTCCAAAATTTGATTGATTGCAGCCACGATTTTTGGAATACTCGTTTCCGAGCTCGTCACGATCTGCGTAGCTTTTACAACCACTTACCAAACAGAGCACGGAGTGAAGGTTTCCGCGCGTCTCCGCACTGATCAATTCTGCATTCGCGTATTGTACGTCTTCCATGTAGTCTGTGAACGCATTGCTGAACGCAAGTTCGTTGAGCAATGCCTCTGATTTTTCAGCGTCCACTAACGTTTCTGGCGAGTTACAAAAAACCTAGTCGAAGTCATGCGAACTTACGCACAACGGCGCGGGGAGCGGCGCCACAGAATGTACGGCGCGCAACTGAAGCGAAACACCGCGCATTGCATTGTAGACGAGCTCTTCAACGCGAGGCTGCAGTTCTGGCGGCACGACCAGATGACAGCAGCTGCGGGGCAAACCGCACAGTAGGTCGATGGCTCCACGATAGCAGCCGTCCGCACCAACTTCTAGGTAGCCGTATTGCGTCTCACAATCTTCTTGTGACAGCTCGTACTGCGACGATTTCAACAGGTCGCACACTGGCACGCCTTCGACCGCAAGGTAGAAGCGCAGCTCTCGTGTCTTATGCAGCCGCAGTGCAATGATCACATAGCTGAACCGCACTAGCAATAGCTCTACTGCAAGAGCGAGATCATCCGCTGCGCACTCGCGCGTTAGCATGAGCTGCACACGCACATTGCCCGCCGAGATTGCGGCGAGTTCTATTCGTCTGTCAGCCGGCTGCGTTGCTCCCAGTAACATGAATACTTCGCTAAACACGCTGAGCACACCGCACGGCCTGTGCACGCTAGCCGCAACTTCAGCGAGCAGCGCGTCACGAAACGAAGGCATGATGCAGTTCAAGCGCGCAGCCAATCTGTGCGTGTCAAATAAGCTTCTGCTGCTAAAAATATGACGCTTTCAGTTCTGTGCGAAGCTCTTCCGATGCGCTCGCGCGTTTGCTCGGGTTCAGCACTCAGTGGCCTTGCCAGCATCCAACAAAACGTTGTTGCTCAGCGGGGAAATTATTTGGTGGGAAAACTACAATTTGCGCAAAGAAAAGTGCCGCTCGAGCTCGCGCAG